TCAATCATGGGATTCCGGCTTATGATCATTCTAGTATTCGTGCTCGACTCAACTATGGCCATGGACGTTGATTATTGTACACTGTTCCTTCCTCAAGATTACTTTGTTGGCTAAAAAGTCAGGTATATCAGTCATATATTTGTACTGCTAAGTTTGCTGTAATAGCGAAATCTATCGCTGAACAAAAAAGTTAAAAAGCCCTGTGAAAATGTATTGAATTAATTGGATTATCTACTTTCCAATGATGCTCAACTTCGTTTCCATTTATGTTAGTCAAATTAACAGGCACGGACGGAGTGACCAACGAGCTCTAGAAAAGCCTCTTAGATACCTTCTTGAGTAAGGGCAAACATCTGTTTTTGAAGTTGTAAAAGGAGATCGATAGATCCAATGTTTAGTAAATAATTTGGGCTACATCTAAAAGCTTTTAGGACCAGACATTTTATTTAGTACTAACTTAACTCTTGCACAGGAATGTCTGTGAATGCAGTCTCTAGTTTATTTCAGATCATGGCCGTATTAGTAAGTACAAGAATCAAAGGCACGTGCGCACGTGACTAGAACGGTTAAGTTAAAATGTGTTATGCGAATCAAGCGTGTCGGAAAATAGTAAATATTAACTAATTAAAAAAAATGGTATAACATTTTTAATATATTATTATCCCATTGTCTTGTGAAATGAATCCAAAGTATTGAAGAGTAGATCGTGACTGAATTGATGTGAATGCACATGACATGAATTTGTGAGTGGAGACCAATGCGTCCATAAATGGTTGGTTTTGTTCTTTATGTCATTATAGAAGAAATTATGAACTGAGATGTACGTAGTTACAATTATATATGCTCCCATATATATATATATATGAATGAGAACGAATGTTCTTTTAAGTTGAAAGTGTAACAAAGGAAAGTTTTATAGGGATTTTTGGAGATCGATGGTTCTTTAACATTCCATATGGTTTAAGTGAGATGAATTTGAATCGGAGTGAGATTATCTCATGCCTTACTGGTAGCTGCAGTGTAGGGGTTCGATTCCTGAGACATGGAATTCGACTCCTTGTAGGCGCAGTGTACATGCAACTCTTGTTCTCTGACATGTTGGGACACATCCCGCGATTTACCTTCCTCACAAAGCTCTAGGGGCGGGACGGTGGGAGCTCTCAAGATTGAAGTTCAACCTTTAGTTTGTACATTGTATATTGATGTAGAGGCAATACACGTGGAGAACATGACGGGTTGGACTGGTCCGCATACAAAAAAAACCTGTGGTTCGGGTTAGGCCCAGTATTGCTTTTAAATCTTAGATTTTGTTGGACTATATTGGCCCACAGAAATGCCAATATCCTTGATGACCTGTCGAAGTGGTCATTTTTTATTTTTTAAAATATGTATCATAAATTAAGTCATAAGTGAAAAAAAAAAATTAGAGCCAAAAGTCTATTCTTATTTTTTAAAAAAGAAAAAACATAAAAAGTTTCGAAAAAAAGAGTCGTTGGGTTATGAATTCAAAAACAGTTCTTTGATAATTTTTTAATAATTGGGCTAATTTGGTGAAACATTGTGAACTCTTGAGCTTTGGCCGAGCTGATTTCGATTTCATTTTCAGTGAGTGAAACCACATGGGATCTGAGTAGTCTAACCTACTTTGACATCAAAAGCAATACATTTAGAAGCTATGTTGCCCATGTACAATCGTCAAGGGAAAGTTCTTGGCAACAAGCTTCTTGGGCTTATCTTGGTGGGCCTCCAGCCCATTTAAATGTCAAAGTGCTTAGCCTTACGTCTTTGACTCTTTGGGATAGACGGCTAGTCCGAATCACCATAGGCGGACCTAGGACTATAGTTCAATGGAACGAGACACAATTACATAAAAATTAATTGGGCTTAAATTAAAAATTATGACCTAATATTACATGGAATTTATTTTCAATATCAAAAATTAAGGATCCAGTGGGGCAATTGCCCCCATTGGACGTTTAATGGGCCCATCCTCACAAATCACGTATAACTTGCCTCCAAAGTCCAAGCTTTGGGTAAGATAAACATCAACAACGGTCAATGAATTTTCAAATAAAGCTCAATTCGATCGCTAAACATTAATTTGTCTCTATCGGGTCATGAAAATTTTAATTAAATTTCAATTAGATCACTAAAACTCAATTTTATTTTTAAATTTCACTATTGTATCACATGGTGTATTTCGAAATTGATGAAATTTGTTTAGTTAGCAATCATATCATTATTTTTCATGTAATCATGGTTTCGTATGCTTTGATTTTAAATGAATCAGGTTTTAATGTACTGAAAAGAATAGTTGCAAGAAGAATTAGTTAACTGTTCACCTAAATTTTATTTCAGAATTATCGTATGTTTCAAAATCAATATTTTAATGTTCGATAAACAAAAATGATTTATTATTGTGTCAGTGTGCATTTATTTTATTAAATTTTACATGAATTATAATAATGAACTTTTGTGTTGTTATCATTAGTAAAATTTTTTTACCAATATATAATAGTATTTAATATTTTTCTAAGACAATATATTCACTGTAAGTATTTCTAAACAAAGAAATATTAAATCTCAATTTTATAAAATTACAACGAAAAGCATAGCTTATATAGTAGTGAAATATTCAAATAAAATAAGATCACCTTTAAATGCATCATATTTGCAACAATTTGGGTTCTTATTTAATTTAGTTTAATGAATTTTAGGGTTAGAATTAGTATTTTACTTGTAGATAATTGCAGGAGCTAAAAGCAAAATTGTTACAAAGATAATTAATTCGCACTATGGCTTTTATTCGTTGCAAAATATTTTAATTGCGCTTATGGTCTTCTACCATTGTTTCCTAATTTTTTTTTTCATCGAATTCTTATCTTAAACATACAAATTAATTGATACATTTTGCTCTTGATGAAGATTTCGTAAAAATAATAAGAATAAAAAACAATCATTTTGTGCTTAGAAATGATGATTTTTTTAATTTTTTATTTCATATAACTGTATTTAACTTTCTATAAAAATATGATGAAGAAATAAATTATTTCATGTCGTCTCAATAGAACTTTTGGATGGAAACCATTACTGGAAACTACATACGCCTGAGAAGAAGACTGCGACATAAAAAGAGTTAAGGATATAAATACTATGATGAAAAAAAAAATTGAGGACCTTAAATATAATTCGAATGTTGTGCAACAAATAAAAAAACGTGGCATCAATATAATTACCTATTTACAAATTGTTATTTATATATAAAATTTACCAAATACATAGAATGAGTTCTAATTTCAAAGAAATTGGGCTCTAGAATAATTCCAAACGGGACCTTACTACTATTCTACGCCATCAATCGGTTAAAATAAAAGGCACACCTTTTAACTTTTTAATTTAAAAAATTGCTACGACTCTCGTTCACCATTAGTACTTAAAGGTTACTTGGAAGACCAGTTATGTCATGACTACCTACTAAGTAGTCTCCATCAATTATGGGACGACATGTGATGGATATAATCGAATGGTAAATTTTGTATTAAAATTGAAGTTAGTGTGCCAATTGAGACAAATTAAAGAGTAGTAATCCTAACAAAATTTTGCTGAAAGTTCAGTGACAGCAGATGAAATTTACCCAAACATTGAAATTATTTTTCACTAAAACGTGTTTAGGGAGTGTAAGTATTATGCCCTAGGTCCAATCAACTTTGGACATAAATACTTTTATATATAATTAATGCAATTAAATGACAGATCT